TTAGATTCGATGTATTATCGTATATGTTCGGTGCGTCGCATTCGGGACGTTACATCCCCAACGATATCCCGAGAAGCCGCGACGAACTGGGTAATATTAAACCCGCTCAAATGGATCCGAGCGAGCGATGACAGGGCCTCGGGGGCTCTGGTCGATGTCCGTGAACCCGATCGCACCAGTAACCAATTTAAACGCATAATATGCTTCTATTGTACATTCACACAATAGGGTGGAAAAATTATCGAAAGGTTTTGTTGAATATGAAGGAAGAATTCATGTAAGATATCGTGACAATAATGGGCACGCAATTATGCTATATCAATTAGCTATGCATGGAAGAACAGTAAAATCCCTAGAACTAAATATATACTTTTCTCGTGGCTCTTGTATTGGCCCGGTTTCTTGGTAGTTCATTTGGGATTCGTAAAAATCATGTCACAATATTTGTCGATTACATTGCAATAAAGAATTAAGGGCAGCGAGTTAAAACAGCTATCAGAATCAGATACATCAGATCTTGAAAAATGTTCCAATAAAATATATACTCTATGTTGGCACCCTTTATGAAAATATCAACCATGTACTTCAACCATACGTATTCATGTAATTACTCTTTATTTGAGATTATACAACTATCGTTGTCATACGTAGTTTCGTTGATGTCTATTTATGAACATTAAATTGTGCCTCTCGAAATGTGATCTAACACAACTTTAAGAGCGACAAGATAATGTAGCACTACTGGGCAAGTAACAATGCAACCTCACAGTTATTAAAAATATGAATCAAGAAACAAACTGATTTCAACTGCAATGCAGAGTGAAACATTGATATGCGATAGTGCGAGTTTTCCGTTGACACATGAATTATTAATAAAGTTCGAGTAATTTTCTCCATTTGCATTTTCAACTTTAAAGCATTTATTATGAATATACAGAGAAAAACAGTCTTGCAAAAAATATGAAGTGCATAATAAATATCATTATAGTCAATGGTAATGTTGAACTATACTTTTAATATGAAATTTTTCGGCCGATACAAAAAAAAAATTAATAATAGACATCTAGGAAATGTAGGAATTTCCACCGACCTCAAAATGAAAATATTAATTTATTAAATATAGTATGTATTTAAATAAAGCTTCAATAATATGTTTACTTTAAAAAGTATGGATGTAACAATACAAGTTTAAAAGAAAAATCGGACAACTTCACACAAGCTCGTTGATGAGGGAGCAAAAAAATAAAATAATTTTCTCTTCTGAAAGTGCGATGAGCGAGAGTTTTAATAAAAACTATGTTATATGATGTTTAATATTATAATAAATTCAACTATTTTAGAGGAAAAAAAGTCGTGCTCCAATCGAATGAGATTTACATTTTAATGCGGTAAAAACAAACGATTTCTAATGTAAAAGTGTATAAAGTTTCAATAAAAATAAAATTTGCTGTGCTGCATTGATTCTCTAGTTTTTTCCAAATGTAGATTAATTCGACGATTTATTTTTTTTCTATGGTTTTTTTCATGATTCGTAAAGAACACGTCGCAATATTAGCATTGAGGACAGCGATCTAAAAGAGTTATCTGAATCAGAAGTACCAGATCTTGAAAAACGTGCGAGGGAAATTTATCCCTTGATAGCACCCCTTATGAAGGCATCGATCACGTGGCTTTTTTTGATGGCATGAGGAAGTATGGGTCATGGATATCATTTGTGTTAGTGATCGTATTTTTCATATCCACGGTAATTTTATTGATCTGACTAAAATTTCACTTATCACAATTGATAAATAGTTATTTTACAGTTTTTATATGCAGCACGATTAAAAAAAAACAACGAATAATTAACCATGAATATAACAATGGAATTATGCATTCAAAATCGTAGATCTCCCCATTTATCCATAAATTCGATCAATCGATAAAAATCCATCTGATTGGATAATCGAGTAGAATTTTCGGGCTTGTAAATTTTTGCGCGCGACTCAAACGTTCTATACGGCAAATTGAAAGACGCGCTCGCACAAATCCTCGAAAGAATTATTGGAAATGCTACGATCGCGCGTTTGAAGATAAAGGAAAAAGGGTAAGCGGGTATCGCGCGGCGCACAGCGATCCCTTGCCTACGAAATGCTACGACTTTTTTTTTCGGGGATACACAGTAGTAGTACAAAGTTGGATTTCACGTACTCGTGCACATCTTAACGCTTGATTTCCTTGTCTTTTTTATTACGATCGTTTGATGGAGCAGAAATCGATTATGCGCGCCGGTACTACCCCAAAATTCTGTCGCGCTCGAATAGATGTTGTACGCGTGTAAGATAAGGGAAAATTTTATTTATACTTTCCTGTTTGTTATAAAAAATTGATTGAGAAAATATTTATTCATCCTATTATCCTTGCAACATATATCTAATAAAAAGTAGATATATGTAGTCGAGAGAGTAAGTCGAGAGTGTAACGATGAAAAATTGCGCGTCCTTTCAAAAGTGTTTATACAAATGTCGAGCGATTCCATTCTGCTCGTGACAATTGCCCTCCCGAAATTCTCGATCTTTTCTTTACGCCGAACCAAATAAACTAGATTCGAAGTGCCTGGGAAGGATGTAAGCGCCCAACGTCGGTGCCGATAACGCCTCAGTGTGCAGAAATGGCCAAGTGTCGTATAAATCTCGTCCCGTATTATATATATAGCGTCGCAAGAGCTCGCTCATTGCCCGCATCGCTCGCAAATCCTCTGATCAATTTCCATTTCACGAATTTCGAGGGGCACACACGATTTGCTCTCTCCTCCTCCTCCGCCGCGACTATATGGATTTTTGAACGTTTTTACTCTATCTCTCTCTGGGTTGAATAAGAAAAAAGATCCGTACTCGAGAGTACACTTTTCGCGCGCGCGCCGTTGTATAAATATCGCGAGTCATAAATCAGCGAAATATACAAAGTATGGCCTGGACGGTGTCGAAAATTTGGTGGAAAGCCGGAGGATAAGATTTGACAAGTCCGATTACATATTTTAAGAAGAGCCGCCGCCGCCCGCGCTGCAAAAGCTTCGAGACATAAATATCGATTCTCTTTTCATGTTCAGAGCCATTTTCGCCGTCTACTAGCGCGCGCGTTATCGAATTTTCATACACTTCAGACAAAGGACGTCAAAAAATGTGAAAAAAAAGGGATAAAAGTTCAACAAATTTTCATTCGTATTACGGAACCTCGAAAAAATCATCTCGATGTAACGAGAAGAACTAGAGGTACTGTATTGCCTTTTTTTCGAAAAAACCCTGCCACCGAACTACTACAATCAGAAAAAAGTGCGTAACTCAATTTTCGTGTGCTAACGAAAAACTTTCGAAACTCGCAGCTGTTATTTGTCGGGGGCCTCGCAAATAGGTATCGCGTCATCCAAAAGAGAGCGCGCGAGATGATTAAAAAAGGGTTTATTATTTTTCGATACTTGAGAGTCTTCTAAATTAAAATTTATCTCTTTTTTTTTCGCGAACGACTGCGCATTAAGAGCACTTTGCGCGCACGGGGCTTCCTTGGGAAAAGTTTTCCGAAAAGTTTTCTGAAATTCTAAGCGGACTGGTGCTGCAGCACAGCTTTACAATCGAGCCATGAACATTAATAGCGACGAGGACGAGGAAATGATCTTTAAGAACGATACAATTAGAGGAAAACTACTGGCTTGGACCATTTTAATATTTCTCTCTGTCCTAAAATCTATTAAAAGTTGTCGATTCGATCTTATATATCTCACGCATTAAACATTATTTAATCCCAAACACCTTTACAATTGTAACGATATAACGATGTAGTCCCTTTGTCCCTCTACTGCACTTGTTTCTGTAATTTAAACTTTTATCATTTTACAATTTTCATTGCTCCTTTCCTCCACCTTTTTTTTTTGTTATCATTTTAAATGAGCTTGACCCGAGAAAGCAATGGGGATAATATCTTTCTCTCTCTTTCTCTGTACTCGTATATAGCGCGAGCGAAAATGGAAAGAAAGCGCCACGGGGCCAGGCAACAGCAGCAGCACTGCAGTTTACCACGAGGTCGGAAAATGAAAAATGAGTCAAGGAGGAGGAGGAGGACGGAGGGAAAAAAAGCCTCGGAGCGCTGTCTTATCGCTGATTGGATTGTTTCGGTGAAAAGACGATAATTGGATATCTGATAAGGAGACGCGCAATAAATATGTATAATCGCGCGGACGATAAATGCTCTTCTCTCTCTCTCGGTTTTTCTCTCCCTTTTCCCAAGCCGCGCGCCACGCGGAGAGGTCTCATCGAGTCGAGATGGGAAAAGTGTATACAGCTCCTCGATTTAATGAAGTATTCTCGGATGGAAAAAAAGTCTTTTTATTTTCATGGATCATTGTGCGGGGTAAACAAAAAAGCGAACGATCGGATAGCGCGATGCCGTCGTTCAATGATATATAAATAATTTTTAATTTAGCGCGTGGCGGTAACGAAGGTCAGTACCGGGATATCATATTTGGATTACAATTAAACAAGGGTCAATCAATTTTTTATTCGATTACGAATTGCGGTTCGAAAATTATCAAGTTCCATATTTGATTACGTGAAAATCGTTTTATTATCAATAACTATATATAGGAGACCCTGAATGAAACGAAGTCCGTTTCTAGTCCAACAATTTATGATTAAGATTGAATTTGAACCGCGAATTTGATTTGCGGTCTATTGGAATTTCATAAACTCGAGAGAATTGTATTCCGTATACCGATGTCAATAAATTTATCATTTGAACATTGAGATTATGAGATATTATACGATATAGTCTGCCATTGTGGTGTGCCTTACAATTGCAGTAATGAGAAAAGAATCGACCAGTTTATTAAGATTTTTTCCATCGTCATCATTCAATTGATATAAATGTACAATGTCGTTTAAAAAAAAATTCTCCTAAATTTTCTGTGGAATTAGTAATATAAATAGTAATGAAAAGCACTCATTTTAAAATATATAAATTTTAATAATTATGTATAGATACACGTATTCATCTTAACAATACAATTTAATTTTATCGGTTTTTAATCGCAATCTCAAGTTTCTAAGTACTTAAAACCAATTCAATATAACACCAAAGACAATGTTACAACGAAAAATTTTACATAATTCTCTTGAGATTTTCATTGAAAAATAAATAAATTTAAAAAACTACGCGATTGTTCAGAAGTATCCAAAGGAAGGCACTCGCGTAGTTTTCACCAGAACGCGTCTAGTACATAGTTCGAGAAACATATTTGAAAATATTAATTTTTACTTTCACTTAAGCTATGCTAATAAAATCATATTGCTAGTACATTATTAAAAAATTTTTGTAGTATTATTTTTATAGAATGTACAAACTTTTTAATTATAATTATGTACTATTTACACGATTTTACAGTATAAAACATGTTACACTTTCTTTGTTCATAAAATTGACAACTTATCGCTCGCTATCAACATTAATTATACCCTACGAATTGCTATTCAAGTATATTGTGCATACTTGAAAATTATTACAAATGAATTAATGACACATTGTTTGCTGATCAAATAATTCTGACTGAACAGCGTTTAGGAACATGGGCACGCTCTGTTGCTGCTGAAGATACCGATCAATCAAATGCGTCAAAGTCGCCGAAAAAGGTGTTTCTATCATATTAACATCATCATCGGTGACAAGGAAAAATAAATAATCACCTGGCGATTCAGCGTACTGACTCGCCAATTTATATTGTCCCTCTTTTGTTCGATCGATTTTCCAACCGGTCAATTGGTAACAAGCCTGTCTGTACTCATGCGATGTGGCCTGGAAAGCCTCTTTCAGTCGAGACATTTTGATTTCGTAATTATTTTGTATTTCGGCAATTTCTGAAAATGAAAACTATAAATTAACCTGATATTAAAGGATTTAATATTTTTATTGAAGAACTTACCTTTGGAATGATATGAAAAAGAAGGAGCAGGGCCTTTTCCAGTACTGCCACTGGACACAATTGTTCGAAGTTGTTCAACCTCTTCTAGTAAAGCTTTCTCCTTTTCTTCAGCTTGTTGTTCAGCTAATGCTGCAGGGTTTAATTTATAATGAACAATTTTTGTATTGATATTGAAATCACCTTTCAAAGCACGATGTGCAATTTCATCTTTTAGTTTTTCATTTTCTTCTTTCAAAAGTTTAAATGCCTGTAAATGCGGCGCACCATCTAAAGCCTCAATATCAGCTTCAAGTTTGGCTACTAGTTCTCTGTTAATGAATTATACTATCTAATACATTTTTGATGATTAAGGATTCAATAACTAAAAATAAGGACTTACCTGTAACTTTCAATTGTGCGTTCAAGAACTGGTATTCTGTCATTAGACACAGAAGGATTTTCATTATTATGATAGGCAGTAATTTCTTTCTCATAACTATCTAGTTGCTGTCTATAACTATCTCGTTCTCTTGTAACAAGCGACATTTTCTTTTGTAATCTAGATACAAATCGAGTTAATCTGTCATGAGAATTAATTGTATCTGTAAGTAGTTTTTTGGTTTCCTCTACTTTAGAATTAGCATTGGCTAAATCTTTTTCCAAGATATTTATTTTTTGACGTAATTCACCTCCTTCTGCAGTTAAATCTAAGACTGCAGATTGTAAGCTCTTAATTTCTCGTCTGACAGCTGAAGGGCCTCCAGATATTCCTAATTCTTCATATTCAGATAATTTAGAAAGAAGCTCTGCTTGTGAAAATTCTAGTTGTGAGACTTGTTTCTCAAGATTTTCTGTACGCTGGAGTCTATAAAAAATGTTTGTAAATTATTTAATTCGCAAAAAATCTGTAGAAAATCATTTGACAATAGTTATAATTACCGGCAATTCAAATGTGCAATTTGTTCTTCTAAGAGAAGTTTTCCTTTCAAAGATTCCCTCAAACTCGTGATCATTGCTCTTGCTTGATTTAATTCTTTTTCCAGCTCATATGCTTGAGCAGCTCTTGCTGTAAATTTTTTACTTTCTTCAATGTGAGATATTTCAGAATTAAATTGTTCAACTTTTACTCTTAAAGCTTGCAATTCTACATTCTGAAGTTCATATTTTTGTTGATCTTTTCTAGCCTCTCGAAGATTTTCTTCCAATTCCAAAATCCTCTTATTTGCTAATTCTAGATTTTCAGTACAAGTAGATAATCTAATTTCTATTTCTGGTCTATCTGGATCTGGTTTAAATGTTCTTTCAACTTCTCTCTCCAATATCTGCTTTAATTTAGCATTTTCAGTTTGGAGGACCATTATTTTTTGTTCCATTTTCATTTTCATCTATTATTTTGAAAAATAATTATTATAATTGAGATTTTGAAATTCAAAAGAGCTTAATGCAATAATTACCTCAGCTAATTCTTTTTCAGCACGGAATTGGGCTGCCTTACTTTCTTGAATTGTTTTTCTTCCTACATCGACTCGAAGTTCTAGCTGCTTTATCATAGTTTTGTCTTGATTCATTTGAATTTGTAAAATTTTTTTTTCCTTTTGAAATAATTCCTCCATCTCTTGGCGAATCTGATGTAATTGCTGAACTGTTGATTCTTGATGAGTGAGTCTTGTTCTCAAACTTATCAACTAAAATTATTAAGATATCGTCAATCAAGTACATCAACTACTTAGTGTAAAGTATTTTGTAATCACTTAAAAATAATTGTCTCACCTCTGCCTTCATCTTGCGCCATTCCCAAGGACTGCTAGGAATAGATTCTGCACTACTTGTGTTGAAAGAGTCACTAATACTGCCTTCAAGCTTCATTCTTTTAGGAGTTTCATGAGTATTGCCAGAACCTGGTTGCGTATTCAAACTAAAATTGTGATGAGGTGCATCTGAGCGCAGTGGTGTGCTGGTTGGTAGATAGGGGTAATTTCCATGTTCAAAATCACTTTCACTCACTTTAACCGATGTGTCTTTACGATCCATCTGAAAAAAATTATAAAATAAAAGTAAATAATACACCGCTATATATTCGCACAAGCTAACCTATAATACGCAAGTTTATGACACTATATTTTCAATATTTGAAACACAAACACAACGATAAATACAAACCTTGATAAACTTGCGCTTCGGCAGGCATCAAACGAACAGAAAACGTTGATTGTTACGACTGTTTTACGCAGGCGATTAGTTGTTTTCACTTCGCTAACTCCAAACGCCGTCAAAAGGCGCGCAAAATTTTGCTTATGCTTAATGCTACACAAATGCTACATACATGATGTTAAGTCTGCTAAAGAGCGAGCTATAAGCGAAACGAGACGTCGAAGTAAGAAATCACTAGCGGAACGCGAAAGAACTAGATCTAGTGAGAGAGAATGTATCGATACCCAGGCAGCAGCACTGCCTTACGCTAACCTGCAAGTGTTCTGCGTATACTTTTCTGCTAAACGCTACGGACGTCTGCGTTGTCTGCCCGTTTACATACGTTGCCACGCTGATATTGCCTATCGGCATAATAAAAACCGTAACCCCAATACAACAATGAAAAACTAATAGTTGTATCCTAATTAGTACAGATCATAGATGTTTGTTATTTAATTTGTTAAGTGTTTTGTATGACAATTTTGAAAAGTTAGATACTCATCGAGTTAAGTCAGATCAAGATGACGTTTAAATACCAAATAGCAATAACGCTTATTAGTTTACTGTCTTTTGCGTGCTGTGTAAGTATTAACTTTTGTCGATCATCTATTGATATAATGGTATTTTTATCATTCATTAATGGTATCTTTGTTATTCATTTTTGACAGAGTGAATTAGATTTTGACGGATGGCTTCATGTCAGACTGTTTCATTCCTTGGATGATGCTCCAGAACCTAATTTTATTGAAAGGGGCAACATTACCATTTCAAGTATTCGCAGTGGAGCTGCTATAACTGCACAATCTGCTATTAGTGAATCTCAGTTACAAAAATTAATGTCTCTGGCTAAAAATAATGGCATGTACAGGTTAAAGGCAACAGTAACAACTTCATCGAATAGCGAAACAAATTTCCTCACTTCTGTACTAGCGGTAATAAAAATGAAGTTTTATTTTTACAATCAAATACTGTTTCTTAACAACTCTATGTTCAATGTCATCTTTGTCATTTTTTTAGTGTAATTTACTGGGCTCTGGTTTGGAGGATTATGTACACATTTGGTTAGATAGCTCAGCCGAGCCAATAGCAGTTAATTTAATAGCCACAGGCCCATGTACTTTAGACGAACCAATGACCAAACAATGGAGTACAGATGTTCAAGTTAAGTATCCAGATGGTGGTCCAGTACCGGATACTGCAACTTACATTCAGAAACTTGAAAAAGAAAAACTAGCCAGAGAAAGCGGTGAAGTTAAAGATAACAGATCATTCTTTGCCAAATATGTAAGTGAATCTCTTCAAAATATTGCATTGCTGAAGATAAATATCAGACAACTAATATCGATTCAATTTTTTCAGTGGATGTACATAGTCCCAGCTTTAATATTCTTTGTCCTCTCGTCCGCTACGAATCCAGAAGCAGCTGCTGCAGGTGGTGGCGGTGGTGGTGGTCAACGCCAATAATTTAGGAAAATTTTTTAAGTTGTATTTGCATTACGTCAAGTAACATTGTTAAAGTTCTGCTTTAACTAGACCAACAAATCGTTATACTGCGTGTAAAAAGTTACAGTAAGCATTTTTTATAAGTATAATGCCTAAATGAATGTGACCCAAAAAAAACCTAAAGAGAACAGTCATGAATTATTATTTGTTAGTGATCAAATTGAAGTCAGATATTATAAAAATCGTATTTACTTCTATCAAAATAAAGCGAGAAATTATAAATTTTGTGCTTTATTGTTAATCTTATTTTGAGTATATACTGCAATACATGAAAATTGGAGAAATATTCAATATCAATTATCCAAGACACATTCATGGGTCACCCCACATTCCCCATTCAATGTCTCCCCGCCTACTTTTTCCGATCGATATCACTATGTAAGTACAAAAGCCACAACATAGCGCCTTCGACGCCGCCAACGTGAGCGACGATGGGCGCAGAGTACTGACAATTATTATGGAGACGTTCACGCTGAAGCTCGATCGTCGCCTGGAGCCGGGTCGGGTGACCTGCGGCAAATTCGACGGTACCCACGCGTGCCTGGCCGCCTCGACCTCGGTCGGCAACGTGCTCATACACAGCCCTCACCGGGAGGCGCCCCTCGAGCCGGACTTTCGCGTGCTCGACGAGCACAAGCTCACCTGGCAGGGTGAAATAGCTGAATTACAGATCGGCCGTCAGGTAATGTACATTTTTATAAATTAAAAATGTCATCATTGTAGATAAAAAACCTTCGGCACTTGTAGGTAAGCGTGGAGTTGAAATTACAAAACAGAGGCAGTTACTATGGATACTGCGAGGGTAACAACTGTTGCGCTATCGCAGCCCTTATATTGTATTATATGAGAAATATAAAAAGAAAGAAATAAGATGATATCTAGACAAATCGCTTATTTATAACTTGAATTTTCAATTATTGTTATGACAAACTTGACTAGATTTTTTTAGTATCAATGTCTTAGAAAGGGCGAACCTACTATATAGTGCCTCTGACCACCGTGAGCTATTATTTCAATCAATAGTAATTAAAGTAAAATTTTTTTCACTTCCTCTAAACATTATATTTTCAGAAAAAAATATATAATTGCACTTATAAATGATCAAAAACTTAAACTCTATCCTGGTTGAATACTGGACTATTCGGTTAATTAGATTATTTTGTATCCGACGACCGGTATACATTTTAATACTTTTCAGGTAAATGTTTTCGTTTAATTTTTAAGAACGAAAATAGATTTCTCGTACATGTCATCGTCACCTATGTTCGTTTATAATGCACTTAGTACTCGAAAATAAAAATATCAGCCAGTTCTAAGTTAATGTCAGACGATTTGAATTCTTTACCTTCAAAACCTATTTTAGAAATATTACCAATTTTTTTTGATCGAGTGAAAGTTCTCGATCGAAAGTTTACCTCTTTTGCTTGAACACCGAGAAAAAAATTTCATTGATTCAACAAAATTATTTAATTAAATACAATCTATGAAATAATTTCATTGATTCAATCTTTTTTATTTCATCCAACAAAATATTTAATTGTTTTTACCAAAGTTTCATTGCTTCAATCAATCATTTGATTAAATTAATAGTAAATAAAATATTAAATTAGATTTCATCGTATCAATGAATTTTTTTCTCAGTGAAGAAGGTATCATTTACAAGCGAACAAAGTGAGCATTTTTCTCGAGCGATCGGTCTATATACCCACGCAGGTGACAGCCATCGCCACGGGCTGCCTCGACGACGACGAGCGCGACGTGCTGTTCGTCGGCACCGCCAGCCACGTCCTCGCCTACCAGGTCGAGGACAACGCCGATCTGTTTCGTCGCGAGCTCGCCGACGGCGCCTACGCGATCGCCTGCGGCAAGCTCGGCTGGCTCCAGCAACCCGTGCTCTGCGTCGGCGGCAACTGCTCCATCACCCTGCTCGACCAGCTGGGCGAGGAGGTGTTCTGGACCGTGGCCAGGGAGCGAGTCACCGCGCTGGCCGTGCTCGACTTCGACGGCGACGGCGCCAACGAGCTGCTGTCGGGCACCCGGGACTACTATCTCAAGGCTCAGCGCGAGGACGCGGTGCTGTGGGAGGCCAAGGAGAACGCCGAGGTCGTCGAGCTGGTGGCACTGGCCGAGCGACAGTTCGCCTACGGCACGGCGAGCCCGTCGAGCGGCACCCTGGGCGTCTACGAGTGCGGTCGCATCGCCTGGCGCATCAAGTCCAAGCATCGGGTGGTCGCAATGCGCTCGTTCGATCTCAACAACGACGGCAAGCCCGAACTCGTCTCGGGCTGGAGCAGCGGCAAGTTGGACGCGCGGAACGCCTCGAACGGCCAGGTGATCTTCAAGATACAGCTGTCGGCGCCCGTGGCCGGACTGATCGAGGCCGATTACAGGCGCACGGGTAGATGCGATCTCGTCGTGGCCACCGTCAACGGCGAAGGTGAGAACACGTTTGTATTATATACGGCGATCAGCGAAACGAAAATATTATGAAGCGAAGCTGTCCGTAGAGAAGAAAAACAACTCGAATTTCAAAAGTTCATTGATCTTTAACGCGTGTATATGTTTACGTAATGCGAATTTCTCTCTACACGCCGGTCAAAATACAAATCGAAAACAAGTTTTCTCGGGGGGCTATTATTTAGCTCAGGAAAGTTCAATCGAAGATATTTCTCGTTTTCGATTTTTTTTATTACACCGATTGTGTCGGTGTACTACTATGGGAAAAATGATTGTGTTTACAGTAAAATCGACCGTGTTAGCGGACACTGACCGAGAAACGATCATAAAACTGATGATATATAATGGAAACTGTTTGATTCGAACCTATTTATTTCGAAAACCTGGTTAACTCGAAGAAAGGTGACAGGTCTCGGCCAGCTCCCATTTAAAACAATGTTAAAACAACCTTTTTATTTCGAACAAATTTTTCTGAATTTTTTCGAATTTTGCAGATTTTTAATACAATTTTTTGAAATAAAAATATTATAGTCTAGAAATCATTCAAAATGCTTGCAAAACGGTATCTTCACAAACAGTGGCAAACTGTTTTAACAAAGCAGGATTTTAGAAAGAAAAATGAATCAATCGTAATTGAAGATATTGCCATGCGGGCTTTGTTAATCAATATTATATTAGATTAGAACGTAATGTTATCATACGATGAATATGTAAATGTCGATGATAATTTAGTGATTACTGGTACGTTATCGGATGCTGATATAATTAACGAATGTAGAAGTGATGACTATAGTTCAGAAGATGAAACTGCAGATCAGTTACCTGCGCCCAAAAAATGACTGTCACAAAAGCTTTTGATGACTTTAACCCGTTTCGGGCCAAACGGACGAAATTTCCTGCATTTGTTCTAGTGCTATAAACTTCGCGAAAAAAATATCTGATAAATGTTTAAATAGTCATTTCTGACGTGAACTTTTATGAACTTTTTGATTCCGGTGTCAGAATTGTCAAAAAAGTTGAGGAGCAAAAGTTATGAACAATTGAACAACGAAAAACACGATTTTTTTGAAAGAAATTTTGATTCGATCTAAATTTTCGAATCAAAAGAGACTTGATCGGTGCATCTAACACATCTTTTTTGCGTCCATGGGGTGTTGACATAAAAGTCCAATAGTTACAATATCGAAATTCAACATGGTGGACAAAAAAATGGCGCCTCGTAAAAAAAACCATGTAAAAACTTGATCAATTTTTTTATATGCTTACCAAGCACCTAGGAAAAAAACTTTACTTCGAAAAAGTCCTTATAATTGTTCAAAAAACACCCTGACTATGGGAGAAAGTCTTTTCCTCGCTGACGCGAGCCAGTGGGTCACTCTCAACTTTATCTTTTCGCGAGCTGTCAGTCCTACCCCTCGGACCGCAAATTCAGTCCGGTCACTCGGCGCGTCGTTCTAGTACGAAGAGTCATCTCGCGATTCTAGTCTTGGTTTTTTTCTTGGAGGAATAAATTGACTGTTTAGATAAAGCAGTAGAACTTATTTCTTAAAAAAAAAGAATCAAGACTAAAATCGCGAGATGACTTCGTACTAGAACGACGCGCCGAGTGACCGGACTGAATTTGCGGTCCGAGGGGTAGGACTGACAGCTCGGGAAAGGATAAAGTTGAGAGTGACCCACTGTCTCGCGTCAGCGAGGAAAAGACTTTCTCCCATAAGGCCCCTTGTACTGTTATTATTCACTCATTACTTTATTATCAATTAGAAGACCCAAACAATCAATAACGCATTATGAAGTTGCAGATATTTGATTATTTTTTCTAAATTTCCGAATATTTAACTCAATATTTCATCAAATATCTATGGCTCATAAAATCACTGAAAATGTTGGCAATTTTCGTTAAAATGATTGAAGTGTATGGAAATAGTGTCCGTACTTAGGAGAAGTTTTACTAAAAAATTCTCATAAACAAAAAATACTATATTACAGCCACTTTAATATGACACATGATATAATAACATGTAACTACTTGAAATAAAATTTTGTCTCGCTCGCAGTGCGTGGCTACCCGTCGGGCGCCGTGCAGGACACCGCCACCACCCAGGCCGAGCTCTACCGCGAGCTCCTCGCCAAGAAGCAGAGCCTCCAGATGGAGCTGCGCCAGCGCAACTCAAGCGAGTCCAACTACTTCATCGGCTCGAAGCTCGCGGTGAGCATCGCCTCGTCCAACGGCGCCGTGCGTCTGGGTCTCGCCTCGGGTCCCGGCCTGCTCATCCACTACGTGATGGTGTTCGCCGAGGCCGTGTTCGAGGGCGAGAGCATGGTGGCCCATCCCGCCCAGCCGCAGGGCGAGCTCGAGATAGCGCTGCGCTTCCCCAAGAACGGGCCGATCGACGTGCACGTCAAGACCTGCGTGGGTGGCTGCCAGCTGGAGGAGCAGCAGACGACGCAGCAGCAGCGCGAGGACGACGTGCTGATGGTGCTCGAGCTGACCCATCAGTTGCCGGCCTTCTGCATGTACGAGGCCATACCCAGGCCGGACGAGGTGCCGCCCGAGGTGGACGCCTCGGAGCTTGTGATGGACATCGCCGAGCGGGCTCAGCGAGTCGCGCTGTGGCTGAATCAGTGCCTCGTGCTGTCCGCGGAGATCGAGGTGCTGGACAAAGGCCCACGAGCGGGTGGCCTGGAGATCTGGCTGAGGGCGATGCGCGACCAGGACGTGCACTGTCTGCGCGTCGACGCCGCCGGCAAGCTGACCCTCAAGACTCGCGACGCGGCCTTCGCCGGCGACGTCGTGCAGTCACTGACGACCTATCTGGGGCTTAGAGAGGCCACGGCCGAGGTCAGATTCGTCGCCGAGGAGCAGCGAATGCTGCGAGCCCTCGACAAGTTCAAGAGCTTCAAGGAGGTTGAGAGCCAGCTGCAGGCCGAGCAGGCCGGCACCTCGGACCTGGTGAAGAATCTCGTGGTGCATCTCGAGGACTCGCGAATCATCGAGGACCCGGTGGGCATGAGGACGTATCTGACCGAGCTCAGGGCCGTGAACGGCGATCTGGTGCGCGATCACGAGATCAGATCCAAGAGCTTCGGCGAGATGCTGGCCGCGTTGAAGGATCTGAACGCGGGGGTGCAGAACGCGGCGAGGTTGAGAGGTATAAGCGTAATTTTCTTTTTCCAATCGATCTTAAAATATATATCATTTTATTTCGTTATGTGTAGCCGGCAAAGCCGCGACGAACGTGGTGCAACGTTGCCGTAGCGCCATCAAAGACGAGAACGGAAAAGCTCTGCTGCTGGCCCTGAGACACGGATGAATTCATCGCGTTATCGCCTCGCATCGCCGCAACGAAATCAGCGAAAAAACGTATAAATTTATACATTAATCGAGCGTTTAAAGCCGCGGTGACGATGTGTAAATGATATATCCCGATATCAATTGGGGAGCCACTCGACACTCGACAACAACGAAGTAAACAACTAAGATTGATCGCGGGCCGCGCGCATCACACTCTTCGGAATTTTATCCGCAACCGGATCGCTCCCCGTTGTATCTACCGTAGTAATTATCTTATCGTCGAGTCTTCTTATACTTCTCGTCTTTTTTTTTCTTTTTCTTTTTCGACGATATTTCGGGACATCGGCGCTGAGACATTGATTTATTCTCGCGATCGATTTCTCCGCCTTCCTCGAGAGGTTGACGCGAAGACAAAAAGAACAAATATACGTGTATGTAATCGAAAAAATTGCAAAAATTCTATGTGCGTCAGCGAGGTATGTGTGACTTTTGGAATTTTTGTCACGAGAACGAAACGTGCTCGGTGCTGCTCTAATGTGGGGCGCCTCGTGCCGAGATGCTCAATCGTCTCTTGGTCGACGAGGACGACGAGGGCTGCTGCTGCTGATGCGAACTACTGCTGCTGCTGCTTGTCCTGCGTCTTCTTTCAATGCTGCCGTCGGTCGAGGCTCGCAGCCGGAAGCTATGCTGTTGCTGCTGTTGATGATGATGTTCGATCGATGATGGTCCAGGAGATAGAACCAGCCTCGCCACGCTGATGAATACAGCCATTACCTGTGTGCATAATTCGATTGTTTATGTTAAAATTTGTATCGTAATTAAAACTATTTTCTAATTATCTGTCGAACGTCTCTCTGAAATTGTTTTTACCATGAGGCAGCGGCCAATCTTATCATCTTTTTCAGATTCATTTTCCGTAACCGAGTCTTGATTCATCGTTATGCTATATATGGTATCTTCGAATGTCAGAAAAATAATGTGACTTCCGTTTGATTTTTTTTTCCTTTTTTTTTCAAATCGTGAAAGAACTTATCACAATCAAACGCGATTTAGCTCGGTGGGAAGTGAAGTTAAATGTGGTTCTATAACGACACCGCACCATCTTCGTATATAGATAATAGATATGCCCATTATAAACCCCTGTTTACCGGCTACAGTTCTCAGATTATTTAGGCAACAGACCATTTTATGTACCATGGAAGTGCTACCGGTCACACACGTGTCCGTTTTGAAAATCTACCATAGCTGCGAAAACACATCCACCCGTGATAAGAAGATGTAAAGAGTCATGTCTAATTACTACACACATTAGAATAAAATGATAAAACTGCGCAAACAACGATCATCGACATGAATTAGAAAAAAAACAGGCCAAGTTGAAAACAAAAAAAAAAACTATTTGATTAAAAGGTAGGTCTTACACGTGCTCGTCTATATAGAAATGATAAATATCTACTTGTTTACTCGAAGAGATTATCAATTAATGTATTGCCGATCACGCACTCCATCATCGGCAAAAATACGACGATCGCATCTTCGTTTATTAATTGCTCACGCGCGTATTTGGTCAAATCTAAAAAAAAAAAACAGTTTTTTAACTATGTAATCAGATTTTCCGATACTTTTCATTTTTATTAGGAAAAATCGAAAATTAATCATTCGGCTCATTTTTCCGTAATATGTTTCCCGAGATATCGCTGCGAGAATGTTTAATGACAATTTTCCGGGTGAAAATGACAATTATCGAAAAATCTTACGTCGGCATCGCAAAGCTGAGAAAATTTCCTATCGTTAGTCATCGATTAGTTATTTTTTCTGGGTGCGATTTGACATTAGCAGTCGCGTACACACAAGGTAGCTTTATGAAAATTGCCGATTTTCTCTTTAAACTCAAAAAAAGTCACCCTTTTTTTCTCGCTAAAAAAGCTGCTTTTTTTTTAGATTTGACCATACACAGTAAAAAAATCTTGCCTGATCCAGCGACTCCCTCGCCGATATCTCGTGAAACGCGTGGGCCTCGATATCCCTCGCTCTCTGGCGTCCCTCCATCGTACCGACCATCCTCTCGCCGGCCTCGGCCAGGTCGCTCTTGTTCCCTACGAGCACGACACACGGCTGCTGCTGACAATGATGATAGTAATAATGACCGGATTTTTTGGCGCGCCACGCCTGATTCAGAAGAAATCTCAGCCTCCAGGTCTCGTCGAAGCTCACTCGATCCGCCACCGAGTAGCAGAGCAGCACCGCGTCGGGCCAATCTCCACCGCCACCGAGTAAGGCACGCTGGATGTTGCCCGGATCGTTGCCCGGCGGATCGACCAGCTCCCAGCTGCAGGACAGCCGATTTTCGACGCGATAGCGACGCTCCTGGCTGCAGTCGTACTCGCCGATGAAGCGGCGGCTCGCGAAGCGCACGGCTATCGCTGTAATAATATATATGGGTAAGGCTCAGAATTTTTTAAATAAACCTGCGCTCGTATGTCACCGATCTTGACGCGCTTTTGGTATGTTATAGTACATGGTAAAAAAGACCCAAAACCAAAATTTTAGACCCCCTCCCCCCTCCTACCCCCCACTTCCGGTATAAACGTCCATTTTCTATCTATATTTTTTCTGAAGGCCTGAAGCAATTAAAAAATCTGAAAAAATTCACAAAAATACTTTTCAACAATCCAAACAACCTTGAATTTTTTCAGATTTTTTGAGTGCTTCAGGCCTTCAGAAAAAATTATTGAAAATTTTGAAAATTCATATACGGCGCTACGATGCAATACAAAGCCCGATCTTTTTTTCCACTTATTTTTGACATCAAAATACATAACCTCAAATTTTTTCAGATTTTTTCAGACAGAGCGCTGGCGGTTTTTAGCCGAAAAACGCCCTTTTTTTACGAAAATAATTTTTTTAGGGCGATATGAAGCTTTAAAAAATCTGGAAAAATTTTTTTCTTGTTTTTCAGGTCAAAATACATAACCTTGAATTTTTTCAAATTTTTTAATTGAAGGCGATAGCATCTATGGCTAAAAAACGCTATTTTTATGAAAAACGGTTCCTGGAACCCAGAGGTTCCGGTAAAAAAATTTGAAAAAATTTTTTTCGAATTCCTTGTCAAATTTTAATAAATTTTGACCGTCGCAAAATTTCGATTGGAGCTTCCTAGCTCATTCTAGAGCATAACAAAGATTCGAGCGAAATTCTGAAGAAATTTGAAAAATAATGTAATTGTGATGAACGTCTTCAGAATTTCGCTCGAATCTTTGTTATGCTCTAGAATGAGCTAGGAAGCTCCAATCGAAATTTTGCGACGGTCAAAATTTATTAAAATTTGACAAGGAATTCGAAAAAAATTTTTTCAAATTTTTTTACCGGAACCTCTGGGTTCCAGGAACCGTTTTTCATAAAAATAGCGTTTTTTAGCCATAGATGCTATCGCCTTCAATTAAAAAATTTGAAAAAATTCAAGGTTATGTATTTTGACCTGAAAAACAAGAAAAAAATTTTTCCAGATTTTTTAAAGCTTCATATCGCCCTAAAAAAATTATTTTCGTAAAAAAAGGGCGTTTTTCGGCTAAAAACCGCCAGCGCTCTGTCTGAAAAAATCTGAAAAAATTTGAGGTTATGTATTTTGATGTCAAAAATAAGTGGAAAAAAAGATCAGGCTTTGTATTGCATCGTAGCGCCGTATATGAATTTTCAAAATTTTCAATAATTTTTTCTGAAGGCCTGAAGCACTCAAAAAATCTGAATAAATTCAAGATTGTTTGGATTGTTGAAAAGTATTTTTGTGAATTTTTTCAGATTTTTTAATCGCTTCATATCTTCAGAAAAAATATAGATAGAAAATGGACGTTTATACCGGAAGTGGGGGGTAGGAGGGGGGAGGGGGTCTAAAATTTTGGTTTTGGGTCTTTTTTACCATGTACTATAACATACCAAAAGCGCGTCAAGATCGGTGACATACGAGCGCAGGTTTATTTAAAAAATTCTGAGCCTTACCCATATATAATACGGGCCAAAGATGATGTGTACGATCGTTAGATCAGATCCGACGAGATCGATCGTGATTTTACGACGTCGTACATCCGAAAGCCGATGAAGCCGATAACTATCGATTAGATTTTAAGTTTATACACGTAGGTACTTCAAATCTCGCGCGACGACCCCAGCGCGGCTAATCTAGAAAATCCTTCAAAGACTCAAAAGTCTTTTTTTTTCTTTAACATCGATCCAATTTCAATCGGAAAATACGAGACCGTAATAGTTGTAATCCATAAACTGCATGTAACTACTCTCGCGTGTATATACACGATAAGAGCCGCGAGCGCGTTATCGTTTGGCAGAAAAGTAATGCTAATGTGTAAATATTTATTGCACTTTTAAACTGCGCGAGTCTCGCGCACAAACGACGACGACGAGAGACCTATTGAACTTGAATCCCATATAAGTAATGTACTTGAAATATCGATCGATATTATACGGTTGTATATACATGTATATGTAATTTAAAAATAATATATTATCTAAGACCTCACTCGAACGTGTATTGAACTTTCTTTTAATTTACGTAATAAGTACGAGCTTGGCATTAGATCAATTTTTTTCTCTCGATTGTGTAATCCTATTTTTTATCATGTCACACATACTCACCGGTTTTACCTACCCCGGGCTGGCCGAGAAGTACGATTCTAACGAGGCGATTTTTCGACGCCGAGTCTTTGCTGCCGCTGCTCGAGCTTCCGAAGCCGAACTGCCATCCTCCCGTGTAGGCTTGCATCTCGCCACCGACTGAAGTCGAAAATTTTCGCACGCAGCTGCGCGACGATTGCACACGCGCGTGGCCACGCGCCCGCGCCAGACTGGATTATGCATAAATCATAATTATTATACGAGAGAAAATATAATCGATTATTGAACGCTGCATAGTAATTGAGCGTTTATGCAGATAAGTTGGATTCACGCTCGAGGGAGCATTACTTTAGATATATTGTGTATAAACGCTGTTGGCCGCGTGGTCGATGCGTATTTTTCAATTATTTTCGAGTGATTACTTCGTGATTACGAAGTAAAAAAGGAAAAAAAATGAAAAAAAAAGGTACTGGAGCGTGATCGAGTAAATTAGATTCAGTAAACATCGGATGAATCATGTATTTGCGAGACGAAGCTGCTGTATACTCATATTAGTCGAATGATGTTCTGTACAAGTTTTATTTAATGTGACGAAAACCAACGAAAGCCGGTGGTTTACTTAGATAAAAAAACTGAGTAAAAAAAAACAAACAACAGGTTCAAGCAGCACACACCAGAGAAAAAAAAACACGTGCGCAAACATCATTAGAAAACAAAATATTTATTCAAAAATACGATACGTTGACTCTCGCTCGTACATGGGAAATCAACGAGTTCGCGGGGCGCAGCCTCCTTGACAGTTCATGGAACCTGAGATGAGGTCGTAATCGTGTCATCGACATCGACATTACACGCCTAAAACAGAGCAGGTCACTTGTGGACCGATGAAGCTTTACTACTACTACTACTACTGCTGCTGTAAACACTCGAGTAAGATGGTCTCTCAGGTATAGCTCATAAAAATATCGCCGTACAAGCACCGTTTTAATCTGTTACATATATATATTTCCTCGATGATAATTCGGTAGCGATACACGAGAGTTTCACTCGTTGAGAAATTTCAAAACGCACTGCTCGGAGCAACAGCAGCAGCAGAGCAGGGAGACACACATTATTACAAGATGACTCGGTCATTATATATTTTTTTTTTCAGATAAAAAGTTTCGGTGTACACTAATCTCCCAGAGTTCACCGCGCAATCCTCTTTCCAAACGCCTGGCTTTATATCTTCGTATACGTTTCCTCGCTTTACGCTGTCCGCGCGTGTAATCTCGTATACTCTTCGCGGCTATACGCGAAACAGAGTAAACAGCATAATTATGTTCATTGATTTTCATCACATATGACTTCTTTGTATTGCTCGCGTAAGTACGTTACGCATCGAGCGCTACATATACTATATGCACAATCGTGGAAACGAATTAGTCAGACGGGGTGAATCATTATGCATGTATTCAAAATTGGATCAAGAGTGTACGTGTGTGTCGAGGCGCCGATTAATACGAGCGCGAGATGACAGCGACACTTATTATATTATAATTGACGATGTCTCGTTACTCGAAATTCGCCAACGATTCGTTTTGTTCGAACGTCACTGTAATATCGGGGGTGAATCGTCTTTACGTCACTGTGAGAAACTAATCGAGCCAGACATTTAAATATAAAAATTCAACCTTGTCTGCGTATAAAAAACGTTGTATTAATTTTCGAAAAACAACTTGAATTCCACTACACGTGTGTGTGCTACTGCTGCTCCAAGCGTAGCTAATTTTGGGGATATTTTTTTTTTTCGACTAAAAGGATTTTTGATAAAGCTCTCTTATCTCGTGCGCGCGCGCCGTATAGCGAACGCACGAAATAGTTGTTTTTTTTTGCGCACGAAAAATTTTTAAAATACCTATTCTCAAGAAAGCTATCGTAAAGGAGATGACTATGAACTTTTTCAAACGTCAAAAAAAGAGACATGGCAAGGCAGACGACTTCACGTCTCATTAACAACGGTAGTAATTTAATTTAAAAACTCCGCAAAAAAAAAAAACTCCGAAAAGATAAATTCGATACAAGGTACAGGTTATCGATACATAAAAATGTGTAATGCTGCTGCGTTCAGCAGCAGTATCGAGAGTCTGCGTATATCTCTGGTGTGTATCTTGTTGTTTACTTTTTTTCTGTCGGCAGGTCATCAGAAGTTGACATTCTGTCACAGCAGCGGCAGGCCGCGCGCGTAGTATCTCGACTTGCAGTGCTTCGACCCTGTTACCATAAGTTAATCGCGTTTCTACTGCTGCTGCTGCTGCTGCTGCTGCTGCTTCTTGTCTTTCGCCCGAGGAAAAATGTGTCAGTCACGTTACAAAGACGATTGCGCTCGCGCGCCCCGAAGAAGAATTTAGGCTTTCAAAATAACGATTCACGTGATCTCGATCCGACATGAAAAAAGAAAAAAATCCGTATATAACCGACTCGCTCGACCTCATAGCGAAATATATAATACATAAATTCGAGGGGGACAAAAGCAGCTGAGTATATGTGTTTCACGCGTGTATATATATTTTACGCAGCGTGTGCGAGCGCTCGCGAGCTACTTCGAAGTCGACTGTACACAAAGTATATAGTAAAACTCGCTGATAATACGGTAATGTATGAAAGATATCGCGGTTAATCTCGCTCGCTCATTTTTTTTTTTCGTCGTTCTCTTTGGAGAGAAGAAGCCTCGGTCTTGTTTTGGCGTAAACACATCATTTTTCAATTCTCACTTCTCTCCGTACACCGAGGTTCAAGATGTTTATGTCTGTACCGACATCGTGTCTTTCGTGGATAAGGAATCAATTAATTTAAATTAAACTTCGATCGATTTGCGCAGAGAGAGGCGACGCGCGCATTGAATGTACTTCCGAGTTGTCCCCCGAAAAATTCGTTAACTTTTCGAAGCACCCCCCAATAAAATCGATCAGGGTTCGCTGCGTTAATTTCGGGGGGGGGGGGAAAGGAAATTATTTCCTAGGAGTTGAATCGTTTATCGGTCAGACAAAGTCTTTTGAACTTGCTGATTAAGCTATTTATCACGCGATTACAAGAAAGTAAGTGTGTAATTACTGGGATATGCAATTAAAAATATTTATACACATGTCCGGTTATCTTAGTTTCTCTCCTCGCTTTTTTTTAATCGTCCATTAATTTTCATTTGCATAAATGCATGTTGCTTACAGTGTATTCGCGGAGTGTGCACTCAAATCCGCGCCAACTATTATTCGACTCCGATGCCTCATCGTGTCTTCGTTTTTTGTGCGCGCGCGCTCGAATCGTTTTTCTATAATATCGGTATATAATAATTAAAATTGTTTTATTTTTTTTACAAAAGACGGTGACTGCGAAGAAACGAAATTTCACAATGCGTATATATAAAGCACACAATCTGCCAAGCGGCGCGCCGAGTTATCATAGGACTAGCAAAATAGATGTTTACTGCAAAACTGTTTTGAAACAAACACATTAATAATACCGATTTTTTTATCATTATATACACGAGAAATTTTATCTATAACCTCGCTCGTAATTCACTTTATTATTTTTTCCGAAGCGCGAGACAAACTTATATACTTACATACACGCTATACATGGAGAGATACATTCGTATTCTGGCGTTACGTAATAGCGGTCGGATTTCGATTTAAGTTATCTGTTTGAATCTGGCGCGTGCATAGAATGTACCGTAGTAGGATGATCGCCGAGCGCCGAAGTGGCGTTTTGAGCGACAGAAGCGTATAATGGAATATAAAAAAAAATATTCATTGATAAATCAGAGGTATTCTAAAAAAAAACACTTCGACGTCCTTATTGAGAAGATATTTACACCGTTGCAGCAGCTCGGTGCATTAGTCCGTCTTTTTGTCTCTTTTTGCAAAACACACAGAGCTTTGAACGTGATAAATGCGATTTCTACTTCGCAAGTCCACCCCGATCCAAGCGCGTTAATTTGTTTATACAATGTTTATACGAGAAATAACAGACCGATAAGTGCTCATATTGCTTCGCTGGCTGCACTGCTGCCGCTGCTGCTGCAGCTCGAGTCCACGTGTACTCGCGTTGAACTTTTACAGGGGCGCGCAGATAACCGCGTTTATTCATGAAAACAGCCACTAAAACTCGAGATCTCGTAATTACCGTCAATCAACGTCGAAACTTAGATGAGATAACAACATTTTTCAGGAGGGTTAAAAGTATTTTTTTCAAATCGCTTATCAATCCGTCGTCTTCTACTATCGAAAGAAAAATGATACCCAAATTTGGGCGAGTGAAAAACTTCGCGGCTCCGTGAACTATTTCGTTGAAATCGTATACTCGTTGCGCAATCGCGTAGCAGAGAGAGAGAGAGAGAGAGAGAGAGAGAGAGAGAGAGAGAGAGAGAGAGAGAGAGAGAGGAATTTCGAAAAAGCTGAGGCCCCTCGACGATATTATACTCGAGGCGAGGAAAAAAAAAAATAAATAAAATTTTTCGAATTTTACAATGTTTTTTGCGGATTCCGCAAACGACGAAAAATTCCTCTCTCGCGTCATAGTCAGCGCATTATCGCGCATAAGTACCACGATGATAGTTGAAACTTTATACAAAGTCAGGATATTTTAGAGAGAAGGAAAAAATTATTAGACGTAAGAGACCAGCGTATAGCTCGTCGCAGACGACGAATTTTTAAAAGCCACTTAACTTCCCGAATATCAATTAAATTTATAATTAGTATGAATTTTTTAAGATATGTCGCGAACAAAGTTTCAAAATATTATAAAGCGATATTACGCGTCCCCAAGGGTATCGCAGTTTGCAATAAAAAAAAAGAACGGGGAGAGAGAGAGAAAGAAGAAAGTGCATCGAGATCAGAGAGCCGTCTGTACTGCACAAATTTCGATGCGAATCGGCTATTTTTAAAATTATCAATCGAAAATATAATTGCGCGATACCGCGAGTCCAAAATTTTGCGCAAGAAAAACAAAAACAATACAATAAATATACATATTAATTGTCATTATAAGCTCTCGTCGATTACGGAGCGCGCTTCTTCTTCACGAATTTTGGCGCCAGCGAACGAGCGAGAGACACTCCGGGCGCATAACTTAAATAATCATCGTCCTCTCTCGAATATAATGCAAATGTATACGCGCACGCAAGTCATCGAAAGAAAAAAAAGAAAAAAAAAGATGAAATTAATGGCAAAAAATATGTATAATAATACTGG